TCCGAGGAGTGGCTGGTGGGTTTGAACCGCCAGCCGTCTGGTTAGCAGGCAAGTGTCTTAGCCACTATGCTACCAGAGCTCCCGTTCACCCATCTATCCACCCGTATACCCACCCTCCTCTTTTTTAAGAGAAAGAAACGCTTGCTTTGTTTTGAAAGTAGGTTGTGCTTTGTTCCATCTGAGGCACCTACAGCGAAAGCCTGCAGTAACTGCGCAAAGGTTTCCCTTTACTGGGAGTTGGGGTGGCAGTTGGAGGTGTAGTGACTGCAAGACCTATGGCCGGGAGGAGCAAGGGCTAGGTGACTAGGAGGTTCCACAGAGTAGGCTAGGCGTCGGCCAAAAGGTGTCTTCGGATCAGCTGGGGGTGGGAGGAAGACCGGACCCAGGCCGATAACCGGGAGGTCTTTTCGCTGCTACATTAATCACGCCCCACTCCCCAGCTAAGGCTTTTAACACGCACTTTTGTCCTAATAGGAACCCTGGTGGCTTAGGGGTTAAAGAGTTTGCCTGCTATGTAAAGGATGCGTAGTCCAAACCCACCAGTTAGCTGCTCGGCGGGGCAAAGAAGTGGCTGTCCGCTTCCCTAAAGATGATCGGAATTGAGTCCATGGCAGTGGGTACCTTTGACAAACCCAAGTGAGTGTCTGAGCCCATTTTACCTTTGAGAAAACTGAGGTATGGAGAGGTGGACCCGTGTGCAGTCCACAATCCCCTTCTGATCCGATGTGGGGCGGGATGCGGGGGAGGGAGGGGGACGACAAGCCCAGAGAGTCGGCCCGCCAGAGTCACTGGTCAAGGCACTCAGTGGTGCAGCAAACTCTCCTCCGCGTTCCGGACTCGGCCTCTGTCCCTTCCTGCTGGGAACTTTTTTGACTGCCCAGCCCAGGGTCTAGCGGTCTTGTCGCGCCCTCGACGTGGTGTCCAGTCTGGTCCTGTCCCCGCGATATCCTCAATCCTCTCGGGAGCGATCGCGAACCCCGCGTCTACTCCGGGGAACCCTGCCCTCCAGGAGAGGGAGCAAGCCCCGCGCTCCGCGCTCCAAGTTCTCGCCAGTCCTCCTAAGCCATTGCGGCGCTCACAGGATTCAGGCAGCAACAATACCCAGATTAGGACCCTTAGGCTCGGAGTGGGAGAGTGACACGCCCAGGATCCCAAGCTCTGGCGGCTGAGAGACGCTGGCCTGGGGCGCCGGCTCGGCTTGGGCCAATCCCTAAGCCCTGGAGGGCCGGGGGCGTGGTCGCGGCGGGGTGGGGCCCCACGGATCCGGAGGCCTGGCCCCGGGCCGCGCTGGAGGGGGCGGTCGGGTTGGGACGGGGGCGGGGGTGGGGGCGGTTCCCAGCGCCCTCTAGGGCTGGCGGCGGCCGAGAAGCTTCAGTCCTTTTCACGCTCCCGCGCCGCCACGATGACCGACGCACTGCTGCCCGCAGCCCCCAAGGCGTTGGAGAAGGAAAGCGACGGCTACTTTCGGAAGGTGGGTAACTTTGGGCGGGCGAGTTTGCAGGCTCCAGGCCTCCTTCCTCCAAGGATGAAGAGGGTGCTGAGGGAGCGCGCGGCGAGTCAGCCAGGCGCAGAAGGGGGCCTAGTGCCTACAGGACCAGGGGTCGGGGTCGCGGAGTAGGGTTAGCGGCAGCGTGCGGGGCTGCCCTGAGCCGATGCCGTTAGAGGATCGCGCCCGCGGACAGGTTGGGGCACACGGTACTGCCCCGCCCAGGTGTGGTCCGGGGCTGGCGGGCGCTTGGGGCTGCCCCGCACAGGTGCTGGCAAAGCAAGGTGAGCCGGAGAGGGCAGTGCACCGGGCGGCCTCGGCCGGCGATTCTGCGCGGCTGGGGGAGGGACTAGTTCCTAGGTGCGCTCGCGCGCTCGGCCTCGCCGCGTGTGGGGACCCCAGTCGAATTTATCTGGGAGCATTTGATAGGGACGCGGGTGCGGGTGGAAAAAGAAGGACCACTTCGGGGAGATCGGCGTTCTTGTTTTCCCCCTAAAATGTTACTAGTGTCCGCCTCTCCACTTTTTCGGGAATGGGTGAGGAAGAGCTGCTGGGAGGAGAAGACCTCGGGAGTTCCCCCTGCCCCCAGTCGTCCAGGAAGGTTTGATCACCGCCGACGTGTGGGACGCGGCCATACCCCTTTGCATTTTGTGCTAAAGCGAATTTAACTGGTTTCTGGAGAGACGGGGCGAGGGGCGAGTGCGGGCTTCGCGGGCGCTTGGCACCTCCAGGAGTCCCTTGGTACACATTGCAGCCTCCCGCTTTGGAGGTGATTTTTAGACAACACAGCGCCTTGAAAGTGACCATAGCCCTCGGGCACGAGAATGGCGAGAATCAGCAGGGCCTGATTACAAAAATTTGGTCCTGAACCAGAGGTGAGGGTAATGAGCGCCCAGGGGCAGCCTCTAAGTTTGTGCCCTCTCTCCCCACCACCAGCCTTGTCGACCCCGGTGAGGAGTGATTCGGCCTCATCTGGAGCCCCCTTGGATTTGTGCCCTGGGGCGGGGGCTGGGGGGCGCAAGTGCCACCTCTGCAGGCCTCGTCGCTACACCTTTATTGCTGGAGAGCTAGGAATCGGGGTAACACCTTCCGTCTCCGAGTCTAAAAATATCTTTTGGAGCTTGGCCAAGAATAGCTGGGTGGGTTGAGAGATTGTTTTTTTATAACCGATATGACCTAAGGCTGTGTGTGTAATTATGAATAAGGAAGTGAAACTGTTTCTCACAGAACAATCAATTCTTAATTGTTCAGCGTCTGACCATCGACGCAGTTGGTAAATGATCTTGGCACCTTCCTCTTCTCTTGTGACTCACCTTTGGGCTGTTGCTCAGGAGCCCTGGCCACAGGGGGTGGGCAGGAGAGGAATCTGGAAACAGGTGGGAAGAGTGGGAAAAATTCTTTTTGTCAAATTACACTTAGTATTTAAAACATAAAAAGAAAGGGTTTTAAGGTATATTTAAGTTCCAAGACGTCATCATGAAATTAAAGGATTACAACTTCTAATTATAGGTGGCATTTGGGACAGAGGATCACAGGCCATGGATGTGGAGGCTGAGGCCTGGCCTGGGAATTCCTAGATCTGTGTTCTAGGGCCCCAGGGCCTGGACTGCCACTCCCACAAAATTACTGTGTGGTCTCCAGCAAGTTGCTATCTCTTTCTGGGGCTTCATTTCTTCCCTAGATTGTATGTCGCCTGAATAGGTGGCGCTCTGGACCTTTAACTATACCTGGGAAAAAATGTCAGGAGCTCTGGGGGTGCAGTGCCTAAGGCATTTGTCTGCTAACCAGAAAGTTGTTGGTTCAAACCTAACAGCTGCTCTGCGGAAGAAGGATGAGGCAACTGACTTTCGTAAAGTCAGTTGGAAACCCATTGGGGGTCACTATGAGTTGGAATTAACTTGATGACAGTGTTGTGTTTTCTTTTTTTGGGGGGTGGGGGATGGTCAGAGGAAGGGGCAGAAGGGATGGAGAACATCTGTGAAGGGGATGATTTTCCTGTGGGAGCCTTTAACCGTATGAAGCCCCGGAAGCATGGGAAAGATGACAAGTGAGCTGTGAGAAGAGCTGTGAGAAGGTGCTAGGTTGGGGGTTTTTAGATTAAGTTTCTCTGGTGATGGGTGAGAGGATCATGGGTGTAAAGTAAGATGAATAACTGCTTTACAATTAGAAGCATCTGTTTTGAAAATGAGATCTTGTAATGATCACTGTGCTATGTCTGCCTTATGGTCAGGCCAGCCCAAAGAATTTTCTTTTTCTTTTATGTACGAGGACAGTAAAGCGTTGATGTTCTTTCTTAATCTATGATCTGTGTCAGTTTGACATAAGCAAATTACGAGGCAGTAGATGCTATATATAGGAGCTCTGGTAGCATAGTGGCTAAAGCACTTGACTGCTAACCAGAAGGCTGGCGGTTCAAACCCACCAGCCACTCCTCGCAAGGAAGGTTGGGCAATCCTACTTCCGTAGTGATACTGCCTCGGAAACCCAAGGAGGGGTCGCTATGAGTCGGGGCCGACTCAACGACTCAACGGCACATAACAACAACAACAACAGATGCTATATGGGAGCTCTGGTGGCATAGTGCCTAAGGCATTTGACTGCTAACCAGAAGGCTGGTGATTCAAACCCACCAGCCACTCCTTGGAAGGAAGGTTGGGCAATCTGTTTCCATAGAGATACTGCCTGGGAAACCCAAGGAGGAGTCACTATGAGTTGAATCAACTTGACGGTAGTGAGTTTGTTTTTACTTTTTTTTGGTAGATGTTATATGGAGTCTTTAGGTTGTGCAGAGTGTTAATGCATCTGGCTGCTAACCAAAACCAAAAGGTTGGAAGTTCAAGTCTACCCAAAGATGTGTTGGGAGAAAGCCTGGTGATCTTCTGAAAAGCTTCTGAAAAACATTTTTTTCTGAAAAACGTTTTTCAGGATTGAAAACCCTATGTAACATAGTTCTACTCTGACACAAATACAGTCACCATGAGTTGGAGTTAACTCCATGGCAACTGGTTAAGTGTGATATGGGTGAAGAGGGGAAGGAAGAGCACTTCAGGCAGTGGGAACAGCATGGGCGAAGGCATGGGACTGTGAACTTTGCAAGAGGACTCTCTGAGTATGCAGGTGTAGGCTGGTAGGGGTCATGCAGCCTGCTGAGGATCTAGGGAGCCGTGGGGATCCATCAAACTGATTAAAGCAGGACCAGACATGTGAGATTGTGTCACAGAGAGATCCGTGTTACAGCTGAGTGGTCAGTGCATGGAGGGTGGGAGAGAGGCAATGGTGGAACCAGGCAGGGAGGAGTTGGGGGAAGTGTGCCCACTGTAATGTGCATCATTTCTGCCCTTCCCACTCGGGTACAGATGACTGATGGCTTTATGGTGACACAGCCTCTGCCTCCCCTCCTTCTGAGGACCTGGGAGGTGAGAAGGGTCTGGAAAAAGGTGGTATCAACAAGGATGGGAAGAATTAATGGGGTAGGATATGGTGGGGAAGATGGTACCAGCGGGGATCCAAGATTTCTGCCTTAGACATCTGGGTCATGTGGCTCCCTGCGATGGAGGGAGGCAGGAGGGGAGCTGGTGTGGGGATAGGCATTCAGCCCCTATGAAATCATCAGGTGGATAGTACCCATGGGGAAGGGGCTCCACAGACCTGGCAGTCATGAGAGCACCCTGGCTGAAGATGCAGCTGTGGGAGGCAGTTGGGACGTAGAGTGAAAAGAGGACAAGGGGTTGGTGAGTCCTAGAATCTAATGCTTCCACTTAAGGGGCAGACAGAGAGGTGAGAGGCAAGCCGAAGGGTGACATTGTCCAGAAAGCTGAAAGGAGAAGCTTGTTAGGTGTGGTGGACAAGTCAGAAGATCATTAGGCAGGACTGGATTTAGTCCTTTAGGGATTGTTAGTAAATGAGTAGATGGAGAGTTAGGGGCAGAAGTCAGTGTGTCAGAGTGTGGAGGGGAGGTTGACAGGGAGATTGGTAGAGAAGGGGAGACGGACAGGCTTGTTTTAGAGTAAGTCTTGAGCCTTTTTAAAGCTGGAGGTGAAGAAGTTGTTGGTGGAACAGGTTGTGAAGATTCAGGAGAGAGAACAGCTGTTGAGTGGTTCCAGATGAAGGTTGGTAACAGCTGCTGCATGAGGTGGGGATATGAACCAAACAGCAGCAGTAGGAGAGTAACTGCTTGGAGATGCAGTCAGGGTATCCAGAAATCTGAATCTCGAATGACTTGTGCCCAAATCGGGCTCCCTTCACCTGTCTTTGCGTTTTGGGGATTTTAGTCCCATTTACAGAGCCAAATTAATTTCCACTAAAGTCAAACTTCTTTTTCAACTTATTCCCTCTGTCCTACTTCTCCTCTTCCTCTTTTCTGTTCCTTTCATTCCAAAAGCATCTATTGAGTGGTAGCTCCATGCCCGACCCTTGTTGGGTTCTGGGGCACTCTTGGCTCTGACTCAGGAAGGCTTTTGTGCAGTTCACGGTTAGCCTCATTTCTGGGGTGCTAAGGAGTGTTGGGAGTTTGAGTTTTGTCAGGATATCTCAGGCCATACTTGAAGAGCTTTGGTTTAGTCCAGAGAGCAAAAAGTAGGCCCTACAGGCCATATTTAGCCACTCCTCGGAAGGAAGGTTGGGCAATCCTACTTCCGTAGTGATACTGCCTCGGAAACCCAAGGAGGGGTCGCTATGAGTCGGGGCCGACTCGACGGCACATAACAACAACAACAACAACAGGCCATATTCAGCTGTGTTTTATGTGGCTTGCACACAAATGAAAACTAATTACCTAAAAATCCCGTATGCCACTGGACCATAAATGTGCAAGACAGTCACTGGCAGAGACAGGTCCCCTGGTAAATCAGTCTTCTTGGAGTTGTGTGGGACTTTGCTCTATGGGGCCCAAGGGCACAACTCAGTCCAGGTCAGGTGTGGGCTCTTCCAGTTCATACTCTGTCCTCTGGGCCTGGGCTGGTGACATGGGATGGGTGGGGGTAGGG